GGAGCATCAAGAAGAAAGGTGCCAGCACAGTGTTACTTAAACAGCCAGAAAAACAGAGTCTGCTCCAAGATCCTCTTTTGGCACTACTATGATCAGTCTGAGGAAAGGAAATGGCACGGATTCCAAAAACATTCCCAAAATAATGCAACAAAGGAACTGCCATCCAGAGAATTTGACCATAGCAAAGCTACTGAAGAACCAGAATTTGATCCAATGCATTTTATTCCTTTGATTCTGCTCTCTCACCTTTCCCAAGAGAGGACTGCATCAGCTAGACTGAATTTCATTTGAGCAGGAAAGAGCAAGAAAAATTTCAGAGCTGCTCTTTTCTTCACACCTTACATCTCTGACATCCAAAGTCCTCCCCTCCCCTTGCAAATCCTCCTGGCTTCACTTGGGGTATTTTGGGAATGGAATTCCCATTCCAGTTTGTTGAAAAACCTGCAACATATATGCCATAGGTAGGTTTTTTTAACCACGTGATCCTTACAGAGCTTCCTGCAAGTAAAAAGGAAGCTGCAAGAAAAGTTTGCAAGATGACTGATGATAAATAATTAAATTTAGACAAAAAGTTAAAATGCTGTGTGCATTCAAAAAGTAGGTTAAAAATTACCACCTTACCCACTGAGTGTCAAAAGAGACCAGGTTGTTTCTGCTGTAACAAAAACAACACAGTTTTGGAAAAACAAACCAATGCACACATCGGTACTGGCTAGATGCACAAAGCTGGAGTATTTTTTTTACTGGGGATGAAAGTCTGCAACATGGGGAGGAGAAGTCTAAGGGGAGGAAAGTACAGGACTTTATCTAGGTCCAGGTTTGAGCACTTACCATGAGTAACAGAGCTATCTGGAATGCAAGTGAATCTCAAGAATAAACAGGAACTATTACTTGAAATTTAACTGATCAGATTCACTAACCATTACACTGCGCTTGTGTCAAAGAATCACAGCAGTGAGGTGTCTACTTCAGATAGATGTCAGAGCAAATGCAAGCGATTAGGCACATACATCTGGATGATCCTTACTTATGCAAACAAATGTCCAACGACGGTACATACACAATCTGCATATGAAAATGAAGCGCTCAAATTCTGGAGGCACACCTGCTATTGTCCATGACATTACTAAACAACTAGACTGTCTCCATATACACAATGAGACCCAGTATCATTCTACTGCTGGAAGAGATGTTCTGCAGCATGTAGGTAAAGGCAGAGTGTTACTAGAAAACTCCAAAGGAAAGAAATCATTAAGATTGTAAACAATCTTCTGCCTTAACATAGCATCTGGAATCTAATTATTTACAGCCACTCCTATTAAGCATGGTTCAGGATGCGAAAAAGTAATTTAAAAACACTTACTGGCAATCATTATAGTTTTAGAGTTTCCTCCTAAGCTGTCTTTTAACAGCCAAGTCAGCACAGAGTCCCTGTAAGGCACAAATACTTGTTTCTTCTTTGAAAGAGGATTTGTTGCATCCTGAGATAAATCAGCTGTTATGTGGAGGTAGAAAAAAAAAATTGCAATAACTATTATGTATTTTTATTCATTTTCAAAAACAGTATGTGTTAGGCCAGTATTAGTAAGTAAGAAAATGAACAGAAGTGTAAGTAAACAAACAGAAAGGTATTTAGTTATTTAAAAAACAAAACACAAACAAAATAGACAAGCACAAAAACCAGAGACTTACCTAAGGCAGAAATGACATTTCCCAGAGTAACTAGAGATTTGTTAATATTCCCTCCTTCCTTTAATCTAACCCCTGTGGCACCAGTGGCATCTGCTCTCTCGCTTCCAGCAAGATCTACCAAATGAATCTTGCTGACAGTCTCACAGGGCATTTCAGAATCAAATTTAGCCTACAGAAAAAAATTCCAATGAAAAGTGTGTTAAGCTAACACATTCTGACATTTTACTGAATGCAACTTAATGTCCTTCTTCACTTGTTTCAATAGCAGAGCTTCAGAAGACAGGTCTATTAGAGGTGCCACAGAAAGGCATTTGATCATGAATTGCTGCATAACCCCCAGACAAGTACTTACTACTGTAAACTGTAGTACCTGCAACTTTCTAGACACACACACAGACTAATGTGAATTGGTATTTACATGATAGAGTGAACATGTGGTGCATTCGTTTCATTAAGCTTTAAATGTTGAAAGTTATAGCATACAGACACATTTATACTCAATTTCTCCCCCGTCTCCAAGTAACAATTGCACTTTTATTCTGTGATTTTAACGAGGTTTCCTCCCAATTTTTATCTTAATTCACATAAATAAATTCAGATTGCCCTGTTTCAAACTTCCTTCTACTTTTACAGTACAACAGTAGAGCAAAACTTTTTGCTGCCTCCCTCTCACCCTCTTCTGAAAGCTTTGCAACAAGCAAGTCATCATTAGAGAACAGCTGGTGCGCAGGATTTTGTGTGTGTTTATTTTTAGGTGGACACATGCAAAGTTCTATGAGTAGAGCAAATCACCTCTATGCTACCTCCTCTTCATCTTGCAGATTATCTGTGGACTGTCTAAAAAACCCCCGCCCCAAAATGATGAAGAGCAGGGGTCATTAGAAAAGGCATTTACTACCTATAAACAAAAAGATGGCTGTGCTCCAAGAAAATATGTTGAATCTCTCCGTTATTCCACCAGTAAATCAAGGAATATAAATATTTTCCAATAGTAACAGATGAAGAGTCAGCAAGAAAACATTCAGAAAACATTTCTACACTCTACAACTTGGGCCATGGAGACAGGTTTTTTTCATAAATCTTGGGTAATACAGTGTGAAAGCTAGACCAGGTTCAGCTCTGGCTGGAGTCTCACACAACACGCTTCTTGCCCACTCCCGTCACAGCAGCATTACTGGTCACTGTTATTCAGCCTGAACTCCCTATGATTATCTCCTCAAAATCATATTACGTAAATCACATTACAATGCAAATTTTAAAGATTGTAATCACTGATAAACGTATTATAATTCTCAGAATAGTATTTTCATGCTTTTAACTTTCCCTATCACAAGGCAACAACATTATCTACCCATATTTGCATATTTGACAACCTTATTTAATTATCATATGAATTATTGAATGTCAACACATATTAAGTGTTTTAAGACAGGGGGTTTTGCTTTGTTACCTGAGTGAAGTTGATCGTGAAAATGGCGTGCGACCTGCTACTGACATCATTCATTCCAGTTGCAGCTGTCGTTCTATTTATATTTCCTGCATCCATAAGTTCCTCCACATCAGTATAATTTTGCACTAAATGTTTAGACAAATCTAAAGAAAAGCAGAGTGTTACAGTATGCTCATATGTGCACTTGATTTTCTTTACAAAAAGATTCAAATTACCCTCACTACTGCAAAATATTGCTGCAATTAGTGTTTATTGTCATACTTGTTTATCACTTAAGGAAAGGAATGAGGCCTCATGTGAACAATGGAGAACTTCGAAATTTACAGGAAAAGAAGAAGAAAATATGCAATTTACTAAAGTATTTAGTGCAATAACATAAGCATAATCCCTCAAGAGACACGAGCCTTCCCTGGTAGAGGACAGATTAAGACAATTAGCTCTTAATAGGTTCTTTCCATCTAAAGATTAAAGATTTATAAATTATAGTCAATAAATTCTTAAAACCAATTGCAACTCTTAACATTATGTAAAAATGTATTATAAAGTTACAGATAAAAACTGTATATGTATAATAATCTTTGAATTGGGAAATCAAGTGGGAATACTAAATGAGAGGCTATTCTCCTTTAATGCTTTTATATCAAAGCAAAGTATTATATCCATCATCATTTATATTTTAAAAGATAAAAATGCCCTATGCAATTAGACATGACATTTTAGAATATATCAAGGTAATAAAACATGCAGTGCAAAACACTGGAAGTGTTTTTACCCTCAACATACGGCCCTTCTTTTGGATGTTCTCGTATTCGTAAATTGTTAGTTTTTGATGACTTCCGCCTGAGAAGATCTCTCACACGTTCATTATAAATCTCCAGATAACTGAAAGAAAAAGATTAGAAAACCATTGTCTGATTCAAGAGTCTTTAAAAAGAGGGAAAGCCATGTTAACACTGCGTTTGAAAGCAAGATGCCTGGAGAAGCAAATGGATCCAAAGCTGGCTTAAGACAGTAACGACTACAGTGTACTTGTATCGCAAAGAAAAAAAGGGGGGGGGGGGGGGAAATCAAGCAGCGAGTAGAAAGGAAGCAGACATTAACAACAGCAAGATCTCATGTCAGCTAAAAAAAAGTGTAAAAGTAAGGAAGATGCTGTCCAGAAGCAAAGGCGTTTTCACTATCATTTAAATAAAGCAAAATGCACAGGTGATGGATTAAGTTAGAAGTATTGCACATTTTGACTACGACTGCCAACAAAAATCAATTATAGGACTGAGGCCAAGCATGGAAAGTTATTTCAAAAACACACACTTTTCTCAGAGATAAAGTGAAACAGGATGGCTGTAACTGAAACAAGTTTGATAACTGGCAAACTATTAACACACCAAGACCTACCTGACTTCTGTTCGAAAGGATGCCTCATTTCGCTTTGTTTTTTCACTTATTTTGCTGAATAATCCTTCACAAATTCGAGGTATTAAACCTGCATCACCCTGCAATAACAGCAATGATTATTTCCAAGGCCATATGCACAATCTATTTTGAAAAATAAAACGCAAGATCGCTAGTTGAGGGTTCCAACATTCAGAAAAAGGGGAACAACCCAAAACTTTTCAGCAAACACTCTCTTGCCTTTTATTTAATTGCAGTCATCTTGCCATTTCAAACCTCACGTTCGTGTTGGAACATATATACTAGCTCCAGTTCTTTGCTATTGGGATATACTCTGGCCCTCTCACTTAGTTCGAATAATCCCAACTGCTTACGGCAAAAACTGGCTCCTCAGAACAACACATGAACTGCCTTATGTCAATACTATCTTTTCTAACTTCTTCTGTCTCATTTCATTATGGACTTGGCAACATCTGCAGAGAATGAGATAAGAGCCATTTACATGAATCCATGAGCCATTCTCATTCAAACCCCCAATGCCCAGCTCACAGTCCTTCCTGTCTCAAAAGATGCAGCTTTGGATAAATTAGCATGCAGTAACAAAATTAAAGGTACATTCACTGTGTCCCACAATGCAGACAAATTAAATTTGATATCTAACTTCTGAATGCTCGACTCCACCGTTAAAGAGTTTTTATGCATAAAGTGCTCAGCCGCTTTAATAAAGCAAACTGAAAAAACATATTGCTTCTCACAGATCCCTACAGACTACATGATTTACTAGCAGGGCTGCAACTATCCATTACAGGGTCCTTGCCACTTCAGCTAACACAGCAGCCAGCAGCAGCAGGATGCCATCTTCACGGCTAAGCTGGCACTTGAGAATTGAGTCTCATCCCAGTGAGGCTGCGGCTCCACCACTGCTGTCAAACACATGTCAAGACCGCGAGGCAGCAACTAACACCACCAAGATATCCAGACACTTAGCATACAGCTCTCCTCTTCCCATTGCTCCAAGGAGAATCCTTTCCAGCCAAGCAGCGAGGCAGTAAGTCAAAGCCAGGGTTTTCCCCAGCAGCCAAGAGGAGGAGGAGAGTGCCAGGCAGCTCTGGGCTCAGCTGAGGGAGGCTGCTCGCTCCCAGCTGCCCCGTTCACACCGAGTCCGATGAGTTAGATGACTAACTACCTGCTGAGCACACCTCCTCCCCACCACTTCAGGAAGACAGCAGCTAAAACTCTTTCAGAGCTAAAATGAGTGAACATGGCTCCCAGGAATAAAGGGACAAGAACATATACATACAGATGAGCTTTGGGCTCAGAGCTGCAAACTCAAGAAGTAGCTTACAAAACAGTCTGTCAGCTACAATTTGCCTCCAGTCCAAAAATGCATAACACATTTGATGCGATGGACTAATTCTAATTCTATGCACCGCTGAGGCAAGAAATGTTCTTGCTTAGAGTCAGGGGCCTTGTAATTAAGCAGCAGGCAACTTAGAACAAACCAGACCAAACATCCAACATAAGCATAGCCCAGGCACTCAAGGCACCTAAGCAGGTTTGCCAGGGGGGATTCTACAGGTATCTGGCAGCAGGAAAACACAAAGACAGTGGACTACTCTGCAACAGACTCTGGCAGGGCGAGTGCTCCATGGGCAAAGACCTCTCTTCTACTTGGACCTCAACATAAAATCTGACCCTTTTTGCCCACGCTCACTCCACTCTGCTCCTGTGCTAGTCCCCTCTGTCCTCATTCTTCACCTTCCCACTGCACTCTGTCCCAGCAGTCATCTTTAGGTGCCATCTCTGAGCTCCTTTTCCTCTTTCCTTTGCCCAGGTATAAATCCCAATTCATCATCCAGTTTTGCTTTTTTTTTAATCATACACTATCCCTCCATTTTGCCCTTTTCCAGCTTCTTCCTCTTCTTAATCACAGCCTCTCTGTCCTTCTTAAACCAGGCTTCATTCTTTGAAATAATAAGCTAGTCTCCTATCATACCTAGCCCTTCACCTGACTGCACCTTGGTTTAAAAAAAAGAAACAACAAAAAACACCACTCTAGATAAAGGGAGAAACTTGCAGCTTAATCAGGCTTTTTTTGAGACACTTTGAGCAGCCTTTCCCAATATGTATCAATCTCTACTCCAGATGAAGTTTCAGGGTTCTGCATTGGCATTTCCCCTACGCTTTTTTTTTTTATTATTATTACTTGACCTTCTTTCTTTTTTTTCTTTAAACATAGGAAGAAGAAAAAGTAAGACTTTTCTTTCATCTCATGCTTGGAAACACCTGAACAGTTTTAATTAATGCTTAAGGAAAAAACATGAAAGATCCATCACAAAGTTTTAGGCAAGTCATTAGTGTCTGACATCATTTAGCAACTGCAAAAAGCATCTTAAAATAGGAAATATTAGCTCTAATTGAGTAACTTCAACCATAGCAATATAGTGATGAGAAAGGAAGAACACACAGTTCCCAGGATATTTCATCAGTAAAATATACATCTTACAGAATGCACACTCTTTATTAGCAACTATATTTAAACATTTTCTCCCTTTCCGCTCGCTCCAGCTCTAGGGCAGGATCAACTACATCTTTGACAGGTTTTTTTCTGGGTTACAGAGTTTCCAGTCACGAAAATCTGTGGAACCAAAATAGGTAGTTCACTCCAGACCCGAATTTTCTCATTAAAAGCCTGTTTTCCTCTGTGCTATCTCACCAGAAAACTCCTTACTGCACTTTAAATATACTGTTTCTTACCTAACGTGGACATAGGGAACAAATTATTCCCTTCCTTTCTGCAGCAGCCTTTCTTGTCTTGGAAGACTTTTGTTCCTCCACAGTCTTCCTTTCTCTGCATATGCAAGTCTGACCTTCCTGACAGATTGTATTTTATAGATCTCTGATCGTTTCAGTGTCTCTGTTCAAGCATTATTCTAACTGGTCTACATATTTCTTGAAATGATTGCTGCACATAGTATTGGGGAAGACTTCCAGAGCCAACAACAGCAGATATTGAAAGCAAAATGAAAATAGAACTCATACTTTTTAAGGAGAAGGAAAAAAGAAAACTTATTTCCAATTCAAGTTTTCTTATAGCACTGTAGTCTCTCTGACAGGGCCATCAATTTTCAAGCATTTAACTTGGTGGCTGAGTATATTTTCTACACGCTCTGTACAAAGCCAGATTAAAGTATTTATGTATCATGGCAAGAAGATTATACCTTTATTATTGAATAGTGTCAAATAAACTTCAGCACCTATTCATTTGCAAAATGTCTTGATGATTACGGTCATTCTATATAGTGAGGCAGTCTCATAAAAATGTCACTTTTATAAATTTCTGAAATCAAAATCCACATCTAGGTCATAAGATCTTTTCTGGTTACAAAAGTCTATTCTGTTTACCACATTGAAGTTAAATATAAAGCTACTTATTCTGTGACAACCAAAATAAAAAGATTTACAGCTAATTTACTCTCCTAAGCTAAAAAGAGGTGCCAAGTGGCCAATCTTAGTACATTTCAAAAGAGTGATCTATCTAGGGAAGGACAAGGCGCAATATTCCCCTTTTCAATTCTGCTGGGAGAAGACATGCTATATTTTTTTCCCCAAGGATTAAAGGGAAATAAAACCGTAGAGGTTGCCTTGCAAACAGGCTTCATCAGTCGGCCCTTTTAAGCTGCTCCGCTCCCAACAGCAGGTTCTTTGGGTCCTTGCCCAATCATGGAAGCAACTACAAGAAACTACTCACACCCTTCACTCATGAACTGCCAAATGCCCCTCCTACCATGCCTTCCTCTTCCAGGGTCTTCAATGCAGTGCTCAACAGGACTTAATCCTTAAAATTGAAGTTACTGTATCACCTGATAATGGTTTGCCGAAACTTGTATTTAGCAACCCTCATAGAATCTTTGGGTTAAGGTCATCTAGCTCCCTGCAGTGAGCAGGGACATCTTCAACTAAATCAGGTTGCTCAGAGCCCCGTCCAACCTGACCTGGAATGTTTCCAGGGATGGGGCATCTACCATCTCTCTGGGCAACCTGTGCCAGTGTTTCACCACCCTCACTGGGAAAAAATTTCTTCCTTATCTCTGGTCTAAATTTACCCTCTCTTGGGTTAAAACCATTACCCCTTGTCCTATCACTACAGGCCCTATCACACAGTCTGCCCCCATCTTTCTTACAGGCCCCATTTAAGTACTGGAAGGCTGCAATAAACTCTCATGCCCAGTTTCTATTCCTCACTTGACAGCCTTCTCTAAACAGGGGTCAAGGACCTATTTTAATCTCTGACCCTTCAAGAGGGCTAAAAAAAAAATATCTCTCTTCAGAAAGACCTAATCATTCACGTTCTCAAAATCAGTATCTTCTCTTTTGTCTCAAGTTGGGAATATAAAAACCAGCAGTAACATTTGAAAGTTTTGGTTTTGTTACTGAACAAAATCATTGATTTTTGTCCAATATAACAGAGTATCACTTAAAGACACTTCTTCCAACTGTAAATATCTACCTATAACAGAAACAGCTTCTAAAACCTCTGATTAATACTAGAAGGTATGATACATGGGGAGCCAGTAGCATACAGAAGGATTAGCAATAATAATTCCATGAAAACATGTTCTTGCAATAGCACAGTTTCAAAGCATTGCTACCAAATAAAAATGCACGTTTGCAAAATACAACATACCGCATTTCCCATCATGGTGTAGGACTTCCCAGATCCAGTCTGTCCATATGCAAAAACGCAAGCATTATAACCTTCAAAGGCAGATTTAAGCACATCTGTACCAAGATTTTTGAAAACCTAAAAGCAAAGAAAGTTCTTTAAGACAACAGAAGCTTGGGGAAAAATGTTGTCGTAAGTCATCAGTCCCCAATGACAAATCTTGAACAATAAAGCACCACAATATAAGCTGCTGGCATCAACTCATGATACTTACTATAGGACAGGAAATTAGTACTTTAAAACACTACATTTCACCACTGTGTTTAGTTTACAACAGTGCAACAGTGTATTTTCTACATCTTTTTCTGTCATAGACCTACTTGACATGCAGAAGTACCAAAAAAACCCACCCAGGCACTCCCCTTCTTTCTATAGCTCAAATTTCTTTCAGCCAATCTCAGATACTTCATTCACTTTTCCTTATTGTTAATACCTACTCACTTTTTGTATCTTTGCCAACACTTCTCAAACACTGCAAACACTCAGCCCCTTCTCAAAGTGAAGTATTTCAGTGATCCTGTCAGTTTCTTGGTTTGTGTTTTTGGAGGGTTTTGTCTGTCTGGTTTTGGTTTTTTGCTTTAACCAATTTTAAGAAAACAGCCCATTATTTTCTTCATGTTTTCTCCCTAACTGGCTTTTACATACCATTACTTTTTAGGCTGGCAAACATGGAAACATGTTTTCTATATGGCAAGAGACCTTCTTTCACTAGCTAGTCCCTTCTCTTTTGCCTTCAACATTTACAAACTGGTAACGATCCCTCCTCCACAGCCCATAATACAGGAGTCTGATCTCGCCTAATAACTTCAAGCTCTCACCAGATGCCTTCACCACTTGCTCTGCAATACAGGCTCCAGTATCCTTCCCAGATTCCTGACCTTTCATTATCATTGCCCCTCATTCGTTATCAGTACCCTCTGTGTTCAGTTTTGGGCCCCTCACTACAAGAAGGATGCTGAGGTGCTGGAGCGTGTCCAGAGAAGGGCAACGAAGCTGGTGAGGGGTCTGAAGCACAAGTCTTATGAGGAGCGGCTGAGGGAACTGAGGTTGCTTAGTCTGGAGAAGGGGAGGCTAAGGGGAGACCTTATCGCTCTCTACAACTACCTGAAAGGGGGTTGTGGTGACAAGGGTGTTGGTCTCTTCTCCCAAGTAACCAGCGATAGGACGAGAGGAAATGGCCTCAAGTTGCGCCAGGGGAGGTTTAGATTGGATATTAGGAAAAATTTCTTCACTGAGAGGGTGGTCAAGCATTGGAACAGGCTGCCCAGGGAGGTGGTGGAGTCGCCATCTCTGGAAGTGTTCAAAAAAAGTGTGGATGTAGCGCTTAGGGACATGGTTTAGGGGAGATGGTGGTGCTGGATTAATGATTGGAGTTGATGATCTTGAAGGTCCTTTCCAACCTAGTGATTCTGTGATTTTTGAATGCTAAAGCATATTTTGCATCTACAAGGCATATTAATGGGGCATGTAGTATTAGACAGACTTCCATTTATTATTTTTCTGCCTTTGAAAAGGAAAAATGTAACAATCATGAACAAAGCACACTAGGCAACCACATTACCAATAATCAAGATCAATTTTATTCCATGGCAAGATGAATGTGAATGAAAGATGCCCTTCTACGCCACTGGTGCAGTAAACTGCAAACCCTGCAGCAAGTTGATCAGAGCTTATCTACAAAGTCTTACAGTTAAATATGAAATTAATAACACAAAGCAAAACAATAGCTAGTGCAGCATTTGTTTAGAAATTGCACTCCCATGGTTTGAAACTTCTGTTTTCAGTGTGCACAGGTTGTAGTTAAAACAACACTTGAAACAGGGACAAAGATGCTTTTGTGGTTGAGCAAGAGAAGTTAGCGTTCTTGCCAGTAAGGAAGGAGGCGGCAGTCCGGGGTTGAGAGACACACTAATAGCAGAATATTTAATATGGACACCTAAGCCACATTTAGGATTTATTGTTAGCATCCTATTACTTTGAACCACAAAACTCAGAGCTTTACCAAAAAAAAAAAAAAAAAAAAAATCATTCCTCAAGGCTGCTGCAGCAATCCCTATACGGGCCTTTTAATTTGATTTTTTTTCCTATAAGCTCCTGACACAGGCAAGCTATACTGATCTTGCCTCAACCTGACCTGCTCTGAAACAGAGGCAAAATGGCACCAGTAAGGAAAAACTTAAAATAAGGAAAACTTAATTTATTGCTTATATATGGAAATTGGACAACAACGTAGGATACAACTTGGATATCCATTCATATTAATTCAAGTTTCCTTTGCAAATGGCTGCTTTAATAAGACTCAACTTCATTATTTCACAGCACATTCAGATTCTGGAAAAACCTGTATTGTAACAGCCACAGCCTAACAACACAACGGACTCCCTTTCTGGGATTCTTCTAATGAGGTCTTGTCTAACGTAGCTTTCCAGAGGTATCTAAAGTCAGGTAGAGAAACAGCTACTTAAAGGATCCAAAAATTAAATATTGATAAACCTAAGCCACAATCAGGGCTTAAGAAGAATTTCTGTAACTACTTTTACATTTTGCAGGCTTTTCCAAATATGCACTGATATATCGTTAACGCTGTTTTATGGAGATGTACCCATCAGAAGAGCTGAGAATACAGTAATCAGTTATCACTGAGAATTATATGCATTTTCATGAAACTAAGTAATATGAAACTGAGACCCTAATCATTTTCTACAAGCAAACTTAACGCAATCGTTTGTTGCGTCTGCAGAACCACAACCAAAAATCTCAAGCTTCAGTTAGAATTGGAGCAGAAAAATACATTATCAAAGCTGCTTTAATTTAAATAAATAACTCTCTGCATGCTCAACTTAAAGCATTTGCTGAAGTTCTAGTAAAGCCATACAGCCTGAAGTGCCTGCTTCCTATCATTGCGCTCAAATACACTACTTTTGGAATTTGCCACAGTGCTTAAGTAATTTGGGTATTTCTACATCAACATCCAAATAACTGTAGACTTCTGGATATTTCAGAGAACATAGCAAAAACTGTGTTACTTAAAAAGAACATCATCAAGAAATAACAACCCAGAAAGTTCAGTAATATACATGATCAGACGTTTGGATTAAACACTAATTAATAACTCAGTGACATAAAGAAGCTTTCATAAAAAAAGAGGACCTACCGCTTATACTGATGGTTAAACAGAAATTTCAAGTATAAAGTCCCTATGTAACAATCATAGTCATTATATATAATGGTAAAGCTTTTCCTTCTCATAAATATTTAAAATTGGCTTCAACTTATTGTTTCTTATTATTAGTTTTAATTCTGAGCCATACCAATAGCCCTGATCTTGGCAGTTACGGAATAGATGAAGTACATAACAAAAAGGTATGTATCCAACTGGCTTACAGGGTATTCGGGAAACCCCTGCATTATTTTAAGGGGAAAGAAATTTTCTCACTTGAAGCTTACAGCATTCCAAGTTCCACAACTTCCACAACATTCACAAAAAGAGAAGATAGCAATCACAAAACACTTGCATTTTACTCAAGTATATTTGGAAATGTGGAATAGCAAAAAGGTTCAATGTTCACATGAAACGCAAGGTCAGGGAGGGCCTATCTGTTCATTTAAATAATGCCTATAGCTCTCAGTTTGATCTTCTGTTCTGAGTGTGCAGGAAGAAAGGCAGTTTTGTCCTCTCCTAAGCTGAATACTCAAGGAAAGAGAAAGAAGAATTTTCTACAATGTGTACCAAGACTTTTGGACAAAAAAAACCAAACACCCACACTTCAACCAGATAAGACAACTGTTTCTAAGTAAATTAAAGATATATGCTTGTTTCTCAAAAGTGTTTTTTTCAAAAAAGCTTTTCAAAAACAAATTTAGTGCTCACAGAAGTTTTCTAACTTGACCTTACAAGACAAATCAGACAAGAGAACTAGAAAGTCCTTTTGCCTGCTGTATTAGAAAACACAGCACTTCGCAACGTTAGGTAAGTTTAAAAAAAACAAAAACAAACAAAACAAAATTCACTTTCTCAGGTACATGGGGAATTTCTACATTACACAAGAAGCACTCTCAATGGAAAGAAGTTTCAAAGAATGCTTTCAAGCCAAGAAAAAAAGTCAATTATTAACATTCAGAAATCCTACCATTTCTTGGCAAACAAAGCTGGGACTTTTACTGTCTGCTGAGAAATAGGAAAAATCATAGGTAAATGTCTTAGTTCTTTCTCGTCCTGTGTCTCCAGTACCACCCTCTGGTACCTATTTAAAAAAAAAAAAAAGAGAGCTGGTACAATACATCCTGATGAAGTAATTAAAAACATCTTACAATTAATACTCAGAAAGCAAATTTAACATAAGGCTATACACATTTAGAAATTTAATGACAGGTTAGCCTATTATTCCAACAACAGTGAAAAAATTAGCAACAGATATACCCTTCAAGATGGATAGCCTCATTACA